TACTAAACGAATTAGAAGTGGCCAATAATCTTCCTCGAAGAAAAGTTCCTTTCAGACTTTCTGATCAAGCATTAATCAGATTGTTTCAGTTAATTATAGTTAATTATATGTGTCTTTTTACTAATATTGTCCATTTCATAAGGCCGCAAACTATGAATAGCCAAACAGTAGATAAAAAAAACAACCCAAAACCAAGATTTCCTCTGCTCAAATGCACGAATAATTGTCGCAAAACAAGCGGTGTGAACTTTGACTCCCCATGTCTCCATTCTAGCAGACAATTTAACATAAATGTTTGTCGACTATCTATTTATTTATTTCATTCAGTAAATTAACCAAAAGTTATATTTTGAAAATAAAAATTTAATTTTTTTTCTCTTTCCTTCTAAAAAATCAAAAAAATTTGGTTAAACCAGTCAAGTCCATTGCTCTTACCCTCATAGCTCGTTTATTTTTTGATTTACGAATTAATATTTTTAAAAATTAATGTAGCAGGATAATCTGAATTGCAAATGCAGTAATTTCGATGCCTGTAACTTTGAAAAACTACAAAGTGCCCTTGTTAGAACAATACTTTTTAAAGGATCAAAGGAACGACACAAAAATTCGAATAACTGGGGTTGATAAAGTACCTACCGAAAAAAATAAAAAAAGGGAAAAATGCTCCTAAAACTTTTAATTCCTTCGATAAGTAGTCAGAAGTCTAACTCTAGCTCATCTACCGAAAATGTAAACGATAGTGCATCTAGTGAAGAAGATAAAGAGGATAAAGATCAAAACTTTAAATGGTCATATCCTCTACAAAAGCTACAAAAGCTAAAAAAAAAATACATCAAAAAAATCCAACCAACTGAGAGTTTTGTTGCCAAATCTTGCCCAAATTGTCGATATGACGTGCATTTAACCGAATAGTAGCCAAAATTGCAACAGCTGCCTTGGAAGATTTCGGACTTGTTTTATTAGATAACCCAGTTAAAAAAATAAGATCCGCCGAGAATTACAAAAAAAGAAAACAAGTACAAAAAACGGCTACTAATGAAAGAAAAGATATTGGAGCTATTTACTTTGATAGCAGAAAATATCAAACACTGATTCAAATTGAAAGCTGCCGTATTATTAACCAAGAAGAACATGTAGCCTTAATTGAAGAGCCGGGAAGTAAATATGTTAATCGCCTATCAATAAATCTAACAGTGAGTGCTGCGAACATCGCCAAAAATATCCTATTTGATAATTTCGTAAATCCAGAAAACCTTAAAGCATTTGGCTGTGATAGTAGCACCAACTTTAACACTGGCTGGAAAGCCGGTGTAATTAGAAGAATTAAAATTCAATTTGGAAAACCACTCCAATGGGTAATTTGTATGCTTCATGCCAACGTAGGGATACGTCACCTGCTCAAACAATTAGATGGACAAACGAAAGGACCAAACTCGTTTTCAGGGCCAATTAAATTATTACTGGCATCATACGAAACCAAACTTTTACAAGAGTTTTAGTCACTTAATATAATATTACCTGAAGTTGATGACAATGATTTATAAGTACAGATCAGCGATATTTATATGAGATTTGTTGTGCTATTGGACAGTGGCAACTCGTAGGAGGGTTCACAGTGACGGAATATAGGTATTAGTACAGATGTATGAAAAAAACTTTCAGTGTTTTAGAAAGTTTATAATATACCTTTCTAAAACACTGACAGTTTTTTACCTATATCTGTACCGGGATCTATATTCTGCTACTGTGAACCCCCAAAATTTTGGTCACGAGCTGCCCCTGCTCTTGGAGATGGTTTGTGTTCCAAAGCTTTATTCAAAAGAAATCCTGGAAAAATCAACCATGCACGATGGTTGACAACAGCCAACCGAATATTGCGCTTTTATATTGCAACTCGCAGTCCTTCTCAAAACCTACTGTTATTGGTCCAGATTATTATGCTCCTATGTAGTTTAATAAAAAAACGAGATCTTTCATTGAGTATGGCTCTGTACATTTATGGAAAACCATTGATAAGTCAAATAAAAATAATTATTGATAGTAATTACAACTAACGCTTACTTTGCCCACCCAGAAAATATATTAGTAGCTATGATTGCCGATGAGAGATATCATATTAGGGAACTTGGCATTCGTCGTATATTAAAGGCTAAAAATCAACCAACAGCAGAAGTGCTAATATCCCTGCGACAAATTGGAACGCCGAAGAATATACAGAGTTAATTAACTGGAACGAACTCTCCATCACAGAGCCGCCAATAGCAATGGATATCAAAAGTGAAGATTTGCTGGCAGCTACCGAGAACAGATCTTTTATTAATGTTAGCAAATTACCATGTTACACCCAACCCGTTGAGCGATGTATTAAAATTGTAACAGAAGGTTCTGGCAAAGTTTGTGGATACTCTACTAGAGACGGTTTCATTAGAGTTAGAATAGAGACAAGAGAAAATTTACCTTCGTTCGAAAATAAGAAAGAGTATTACAATGCTAAAAAAGCGAAAAAATAAAATAATTGATTACATTTAAGGGTGGGAGGGAGGACGCAACTCGACATGCAGCTATTTCCCCGTGGTGAGTTGTGGGTTGACTAAATGATGATAAGACATACAATGTTGTTGCTCGATTTAAATAGGACATAATTTTTTTAAGCAAAAAGTTGTATATTTTATTTTTTTCCTGTGGCGTGGTTAAAAATTAAAAGGAACCAAAAAAAACTCTTTTTGTCTTAAGTTAGATAATATTTATCATATCAAAAATGTGACGTAAAAAAATTTTTTCTACGACCGTGTATTTTTACCCACTTTCCCGCACGCATTTTAGTTTTGAAAGAGTCACTTTCCCGCACTAGTGCGGGAAAAAATCACTTTCCCGCACTAGTGCGGAAAAGTAAAATTATAAATATTTGGCCTTACCTATTGTATAGTTTTTTTACCTCGGATGTTATAACTATTGTTAGAATAGGTAATTTAGTATTTTCCAACTATTCCATTTAATAAAATTTACTTTTTTTCTTGCTTTTTGTTATAATTTTAATTTTTTGGAAAACTTGAATAATAGAGATATTTTTATATACCTTCTGTATATTTTTTAAAGTCAGACTAGGCTGTGACATGTATGGCTTGATATGGTTGCTATATGGTAACCAAGGCGTGTTATTGTTACAAAAACGTCAAAGTTGTTTGTTGAAGCGTCAACTGAATTAAAATAAATTAAAGAAATAATGGATTCATCGGATGAAGAGGTGCCCGAAGCCATTTTAAAAGCTGCAAATGAAGCACATTTGGAGGTGTTACCTGCCAAATCACGAGGAAGATATGAAAAACAATACGACCATTTTGTCACATGGTGTAAACAGGAAGGGGTAAAAACCTACAAAGAAGAGGTGTTTCTGGCGTATTTTTCTCACCTAAGTAAGTTTTTAAAATGTAATACTTTATGGTCTCGCTATTCGATGACGAAAAGTTTAGTAAAAATAAAACAAAATTTGGATATAAGCCAGTTCCATAAGTTAACGTCATTTCTAAAACAAAAAAATGTTGGTTTTCGAGCACAGAAGGCGCAGGTTTTAACCAAAGAAGATATATCCAGGTTTATGTTAGCCCCTGAGGAGGTATACTTTATGATTAAAGTGAGTACCATTTTTTCTTTAGCTGGTGCTCTCCGCAGAGCGGAGCTTGTAAATATCACTCTCGATGATATACAAGATAAAGGCAATCTGATAGTTGTGAAAATTTCCGATTCCAAAAATCATTCTTCAAGATCATTTGTTCTATGTGAAGAAATAAATAATGGAAACTTTCTGAAGCTGTACAGAAAGTACGCAGGTTTACGACCACCTACCACTCCGCATCGCCGCTTTTTTTATTAATTATAAGAAAGGAAAATGCTCAATTCAGTGCGTTGGCGTAAACACCTTTGGTAAGATGCCAACAGAGATTGCTGCATATTTGCGTCTACCTAATCCTGAACGATATACAGGACACAGTTTTAGACGTTCTTCAGCAACATTCCTAGCAGACTCAGGTGAAGCGATAACCAATATAAAACGTCTCGGTGGCTGGAAGTCCACTACTATCGCTGAAGGCTATTTGGAGGACTCCGAAACACAGAAGAAAAACATTTCGAATAAAATTTTTTCAAATAGAAATGACTTGCAACCTTTGCTGCCACCGTAATTTTCACCTTCATGCGACCTGCAACCGATGTCACTCCCGTCCACGTCATATTTTCAATCTACGAGCGTTACGACTATTAACAGCCAATTAACACCAACTAATTCCTCTGTATCGGCAATTTTACATAATTTACAAAATGCTACAAATTGTGTATTTAACATTAATATCCATAATAATTAGTTGTTTTTATTTAAAAATTTGTATATGTTGAAATAAAATAATTTTCCAAAAATAATTTTTCCTACTTTTTTGTAGATACGATCGTAGAAAAAATAATGTTCCTAACTCATGCGTAAAGTATCTTTCCCGCACTTGACCGCTTGCCCGAACTCCGCTTCGCGTCGTTCGGGCCAACTGCAGTCGCGTGCGGGAAAGTAACACTTTCCGCACTTGTTAGGAAAATAACTATTTACTTCATTCAGGGGCGTGGCGAAAACATTTTTTAAAAATATAAAAAAAAATCAGCTCAGTTATTCATCCATTTTACAATTTTTTTTTTACTATACCAACCGAGATATCAAAAAAAAAAATGTTTTTTGCATTTTTCCGACCAGCCTAATCTGGAATGTCTAGGCTACTAATGTCGTTAATAAAACGATGGTTGTGGTTTGAAGAATTTTTATTTCGTTGGGAATAGGAGCTTTTTCCATGTATTACTTTTTTGTCTTAACTGAAATTCCATCTTAATTGCACAATTCACTTGTTTTTTTATAGTTTTGTGACACCTTCAATGAGTAAGATCTTCTGTTGTATTGAATCTTTTTAATGTCCTATCTCTAAATTTAATCATTATTTTATTGTCAATAATAAAAAATAACATACCAAAGCTTCCTTCTCGGCCTTTAGTACCATATTTTCTATCTCAGTTGCTGTTAGTTCCTTCTTTGGCGGTTCCTTAGGTTTCGTAGAAAAGAGATTAAAACCCCAAACATTATCTTCGGGTTCTTCAGCAGGCGGTTCTTGACGAATGCTAAACAAAAAAGAAGAAATTATTTTTGTAAAGATTTGAGTTATTCTTCATCGTTCAATACTGCGAACAAACAACAACTTAACAAAAAAAAAATTTCAAATTAATGAAATAAATATTATTTTCTCTAAATGTTTAAAAAAAAATCACTGCGATAAAAAATAATAAGGTACCTAAAGCACCTCTGTAAACATATAAATGTTATAAAAAGATCGTAAACATAAAACAATTTATGTTTACGATTTATTGAATGAAAAACAAGTCATAAATATTTATTTTACTACTTGCTAAACGTGAAATTTATCTATTAGGTGCTGGACTTTCTACAAAAGCGTTTTTTGCTTTTAAGCGGTGTTAAAGAAACAACTAAACATTTAACATTCATTTTCTACTGCTTACGTTTCCTTGGCCATCCTTACAAAGTACAGGATGAAGTCTATAATATATCTGAATACTCTTATTCCCATTGTTTGTACGTAAATTCTACATGCGCTATAAAAATTAAATTTCGTTAAAACAATCTCAAGTTTCGTCTTTTTTAATACCATAATATTTATTTAAGTTTACACAGGGAGTTTCAGATTTAAACGGACACAGCTTAATGGGAGGTAGAGTATACTGAGTTCAAAACACCCCCATTAGCCTTTAATCTTACTCATGTTTTTATGATTTTTTGCCAAAACTAAAATCGGCCATTTTGTTTGAACGGCTAGAGATATTTTGATAAAATTTTGTATTGCTCTTCTTAGGGAGAATATCACCCTGTATATCGGATTTTAATAAATTTTACTGCACATTTAAATAGTACGTGGATCAATAAATAAAATAATGTAATATTTAATAGCACCACCTTAATTTTCTTACAATAAATTTGTATAACGGCGACTACAATATTATAAATCAGTATTTACAATAATAAAATCAAATATTTACCTTTGTACTTTTAAAACTCTACACAAATTGGGTACCATCTTCATTTTTTTTAACTACAGTGTTTTTGATTAGGAAATTGAACATCTACACAGGACCGGGCTCACTTTATTTAATAAAGTAATAGAACTTCGAATTCAGTAAGCAACATGGAAAGTTTCCAACTATAGTTAAACATGATCCCGCTCCGAGAAATAATCTTCGACTACAGATAGCTCGAAATAATCCTTCTATCAGTTTAAGAAGAGTTAGTAATAAATAACAGTACCGATAACAAGAGTATATAAAACTATAAAAAAAGAAAATTTGCATCCATTTCATGTACAAAAAGTACAGCGACTTGAACACGGAGGTACCCTGCTTATCTTTTGGTAGATAGACTTTGGCTCATAGAAGGACAATATCTAGATAAATAGGTCGAGGCGCCCCGTCAATTGGCCACCAAGATCTCCAGATCTAACACCTCTGAATTTGTATGTATGAGGCTACCTTAAATCAGTGTACAACGAAGAAATGAATACCCGAGCACCGTTATTGGAAAACATTAATAATGTATGCAACAATAGAAATAAACCGGAAATAATTGATAAATCAGTGAAAAACCTGTTAAAACGTCCGCAGAGGTGTATTCACGTTCACGGTTTTTATTTTGAAAATCTGCTTTAGTTTTAATTAGTTATTTGTTTCTGTTCGTTTGTTCTGTTATTTTATCAAATAAAGTGAGCCCGGTCCTGTGTATATATTTAATTTCTTATTGTAAACTGCAGTAGTTAAAAATAAAGGAAGGTGGTACCTAATTTGTGTAAGAGTTTTAAAAATACAGAGTAAAATATTTGATTTCAATTTTGTAAATAGTGATTTATAATATTGCAGTCGCCATTATAAAAATTTACTGTAAGAAAATCAAGATGTTGTCATTAAATATTATAACATTATTTTATTTATTGATCCACGTACTAAAAGGAGCAATATAAAAAAAGAGAGTCCGGTCCTGGAATTTTTAAAAATTAAATTATGGCTTTGATTAATCCAAGAAATTGTAACTTTTGTACAAAATTTTATTAAAATATCTCTAGCCATTCAAACAAAATGGCCGACTTTACTTTTGGCGAAAACATCATGAAACACCCTATACCTCAGAAAAGAGTGAGAATAAAGGCTAAGTATGGAAGTGTTTTAAACCCAGCTAAGTGTACACTACTTCTCATTAAGCAGTATCCGTTTAAATCTGAAACACCCTGTATACAGGGTAATTATTAGGAACTGCGTCAATATTTAAGGCCACTTTTGGTTAAAAAGAAACATCTTTCCAACATATTCTCAACTCTAATAAAATTTAAATAGAGAGTTAACGAATTCTACTGTCAGTTCATAGCTGAGAATACGTCCAGAGCAGACCAGTGGACCAGCCAGGTCATATTCATCTCTTAGATGGGTCGCTTCTGGACGGTATATTCAGCGTTTGGGCCGCCAGCGTGCATCGTATCACCTCCACATAGCTCTCTAAAAAGTAACGCCAAGACATGTAGTGTTAGGGCTGCATTTTTGCCAGATCGGTGAACTTTATTAATAGTCTGTTGCATAGGTGATGTGATTCGATTTCGGTTTTGTAGATTATTAGTTGGTGTTAAATTGCCAGCGCTCGTTTCCATTGAGTATAAAAGACATGGATGTAGTCTATAAGACAATAAACAAAAAGAGATTTTTAAATACACGCATGAGTATAAGTTTGCTGCTAAAAAAGTGCTTTTTTAGGGGGCAGGGGTGGAGCAAGCAGAATCTTACAAAACACCCAACATCTTTAATCCCGTGCAGCTACTAATAGTACCTAAACAATTGAAGGGGTAAGCGGATGAAGGGGTTACGTAACATCTTTAATTCTATTACTAATTACTAAAAATGCCATTGAATCTAATTAAGGAGGTCCTTTCGCCACCAATGTTAAATAAAAAATATTAGATTATGACTAAAATTAATTTTTTTCTAATAGTAGATGTTCTTATTTATCTAATAGTGAACTTTTAACTATACCTTACCGTGCAAATTTTTAAGAAAAAAATTTTTTAAAAATGTGTGTTTGTACAGTGTCTTATGAGAAAGTAAGACTCCAACAACAATTTTCGAATTATAGTTAATTTTACTATTATTTATTGATTAGACAGAGTAGAAAAAAACTAAAAATAAGGTTTTTGAAATATTTAGGTTTTGCTTTTTACAATAAAATATATAGGTTACCGTGGAATTTATTGAGAAATTATTATTAAAAAATCACAAAAAATTTTCAACTAGGTTACTTGAAAATTTTTTGTGATTTTTTACTTTCCTATCTGTATACAGATATAAGGAAAGTATAGGAATCATGATTTTTAATATTAATTTCTCAATAAGTTCCTCGGTTTACTATATATATTTTATTGCATAAAACAAAATCTAAATATTTCAAAAACATTATTTTTAGTTTTTTTCTACTCCATCTAATCAATAAATAATAGTATAATTCGAGAATTGTTGTTGAGGACTTATTTTCTCGTGAGGCACTGTACAAATACTCACATTTTTAAAAAAAAATTCTTAAAAATTTGCAAGGTAAGGTAAAGTTAAAAGTTCAGTATTAGATAAATAAGGACTTCAACTATTAGAAAAAAATTAATTTTAGTCATAATCTATTAACTTTTTTTTTAACATTTGAGGCGAGAGGTGTGGCGAAAGGACCTCCTTAAATAGTTAATTGCTTTAAAATATTATTAGTACGTCTTCATTAACATTATTTCTGCATTTTTGCACCTCACTTTGAAAATGACAATACATTAAAAATAAATTGCAACTGTCCCCATTGCACACGACAATGACAGTCATTGTTTTAAACGATTTTGCGCCATTCAAAACAAATAATTATTCCTTCTTTCAAACAATAATTATTGGAGTAAAACACCGGATAATATATTTGTAAAACACCATCGATGAACTCCAGTGCTTTTACGTGTTCATATATAATAATTCGTATAAAATTTTAAGGTCATTGAATAAAAATGAAGTTGGCTAATGGTTATTTATGATGATATTCTTGTTGATAGTGTTTTGGTTTTAATAAGATTCGATCAAAAGAGAGATTGGCGTTGAACCGTATATAACACAACACAATTAATTCAAATAGAACTTAAATAAGTAGCAAAAAAAATACATGAAAACAAAAAATTATCTTAGCCATGTGTGACAAAATATAACTAGTGAACGATTTCCTTCAGGAAGCAACTACTCCCGTAACATGCATTGAATTATATCCAAAAAGAAACAGCAGATATAGAAATTTAATTTCAACACTCTAACTTTGATTTTGCTTACTAAAGAGAAAGTCATTCTTGGACCAGTTTCCAGTCTCTAATAGAGGTCTGTAAGTGCGTTAAATTCACTTACCCAAATGGAAGGAGGTTGGGAGACAATAGGCCGTATTCATAAAAAAGAGGATTTACTTTTACTTGCAGAAATCGAAGAACTTCCTTCATATTCTATTCATAAAAATAAGAAGGAAAAGGTTTTAATTTTTTGCTTTAAAACTAAAGGATTTGCTTCTGTAATAAATGATTATTTACTTTAGTCGTTTATATATTTGTAGGGTGAAGGTGTTTAGTTGTGAAGTGAAATATTTATTAAATTCAAATTTGTCATAGCGGATATGGTGCACCCACGCGCACGAAAACTTTACAAAGAAAGACGTACTGCAAGTGAGTGCGACTTTCGAACCCATTTTCGGTTTGACGAAAATAATGTGCAATGGTTAATGGTTATCTTTATCGGTTGGAAGCAGGTAGGGTTAGGTTTGACCCAGAACACTGCGGCCTCTTGGGTCTATTGTATTCCCCTGCTTTTTTAGTATTTAGGACTTATCTTTGGAATAGTCCTATGTCTTTAGTTAGTTAGTTAGTTTTAATAGGTTCCATACCAAGTGTTCCTGGGGCGTTCTTTCCGGTTTTAGGCCAAAAAGGATGAAACATGGTATGAGGTTTCTTCCTCTTCCATGCAAAGTCTACACGTAGTGGGATCATTGTGTAATCACATAACATGAAGGTGTTCCAGCAAGCAGTGCCCCGTTAGTAATCTCACAATGGTGGATATATCTGAGGCCTTGCGAGTTGTAGTGTCTTAGTAGCCATGCGTGGGTTTGGTCCCCTTAGCATGAGCTTATTGATTCTGAGCCCTCTTATCTGTTGCCAGTGAATTTGGTGTTTTGGGGTTATCCACCTGTTCACTGCCTGTCGAGCAGAGGTTTTGCTTATCCCAAATACAGGTTCGGGTACTGTGAATGGTAGATCTGATCCCTCTTTGGCGAGTTTATCAGCCTTTTCATTTCCTTGGATACCTTTTTGCTCTGGTACCCACGCTAGTTTTACCTTGTTATGGGTTACCAGATCATTTAGTATTCCAAGGCAGTTCCAGACAAGCTTTGACTTGATTATGTTTGAATCAAAAGCCTTTAAGGCTGCTTGGCTATCTGAGAGAATTAGGATGGTTTGTTTTTTGTAATTCCTTCTTAAATTCTCTCATACAATATGCAATGGTTAGCAAAGTACTTTATCGGCGAGAATCTGGAAACCAGAGGTGGTGCGTTTTCGCCAGTACAAAAAATGAAAATATTTTTACGGTACATGGCAGATCCGGTCTTCCAGAGTGGTATCGGTGAGGAAATGGGATGTACACAGCCTACAATTTCCAGAATCGTTGGTACCACTCTCGGTCTCATTATGGACAAAGCAGATGAGTAGATTAAGTTCCGTCTACCGAAAACGAAATTATAAAAGCCAAAGTGAAATGGATAGGGAAAACAAATTTTTCAATTGCAATAGGAGTTATCGACTGCACGCATGTTGAAATTGAAAAGCCTCGTCTATTTGGGGATGAATATATAAATCGAAAAAGTTATGCTAGCATTAATGTATGTAACCATTGTTACGTTTTCATTAATATAGATGACAAGTGGCCCGACTCCGTACATGACAGTGGAATTTAAAAAAAAAATTCTGCTCATGAAATCATGCGGCGGACAACAAACTGTATTATTGATGGATAGTGGCTATGGTATTTTCTAAAATGAAGCTTAAATAAAACTTAGTTGTATTATCACAAGATTTCATATGTTTTCTCATTCTCGTAAAAAAATGCTGAAGCATGTGATATTTTTTGATATTTTTTGATATTTTTTGATATGTTTTGATATTTTTTGATATTTTTTGATATTTTTTGATATGTTTTGATATTTTTTGATATTTTTTGATATTTTTTGATATTCTTTGATATTTTTTGATATTTTTTGATATTTTTTGATATTTTTTGATATTTTTTGATATTTTTTGATATTTTTTGATATTTTTTGATATTTTTTGATATTTTTTGATATTTTTTGATATTTTTTGATATTTTTTGATATTTTTTGATATTTTTTGATATTTTTTGATATTTTTTGATATTTTTTGATATTTTTTGATATTTTTTGATATTTTTTGATATTTTTTGATATTTTTTGATATTTTTTGATATTTTTTGATATTTTTTGATATTTTTTGATATTTTTTGATATTTTTTGATATTTTTTGATATTTTTTGATATTTTTTGATATTTTTTGATATTTTTTGATATTTTTTGATATTATTTTCTTCCAAAAACAGAAATATAACTTAAAAGATAAAAAATCGAGCCTCTACAAAGTACCTCCATACTTCAACAATGCCAAAAATTAAATTAGCTCTTTGCAAATTGGATTAAAATTTATATTTAAAATGTGACATATTTCTCTTTATCCAATTCGGAGGACTCCAAAATGTAATGATCAGACATATGATTCCTCTACTTTATTTACTGATGACTGGAAAGTAAAAAAATTAAAATTATTTTTGGTAAATTGAAAGAAAATCAGTATAGCCGTTTTCTCATTCATTTACAAAAAACAATTTCGAACTCAGGCACCTATAGAGTAAAAAATCAATGAAAATATCGAAAGCCCAATTTAATATATTTCTTCCCTCATAAAACCAAATCGACTCTGACCAGTCCGTTTGTGCTAAGGGTTATCGAAAAAAACCCAATTCGATGACTAAAGGTCACCGAAAATTGCCACAGCGTTTTTATGTAATTTGGTGTAATTTACCTAAATGACAAAAAGAAAATATAATATAAAAAAATAACTTTAACTTACTCATTTCCATATTCCGAAGCACTAATATGCGAATCATCCACAACTCCAGGATCATCTTCCTTATGAGCAAAATGATGGTATCCCGCCGGCGATCTGTCAACATAATACGGTTTGTGGTGGTGATATCCCGGAGCTACTTGATGGATATGTGCTATCTGGTGCTTGTGTATATGGTGCTTGGCTCCATAAGGCGTGTAAGCGCATAACTTGAACAGATGATGCAAGAAAGGGAAAATAAATAGTAATACTTTAACGATGAGCTTCTTTGCCGCCACAACTCCCATTAAAGACGGCAGGATAAAGAGGAACTTGACTACGAGGAGTTTGATGACTAGAACAATGGCTATAAGTGCGATGATGAGCCTTTCGCTGATGAATTTACCTGAAAATAAAAAGAAATATATGAAGTTACATAAGGATAATATAAATTGTTATTAAAAGATAATATTATTTTCACTTATTGGTTTCTGGAAAAGAATTTTTGGATAAACATACTGGTTTAAAAAATTGATTGGACAAAATTTATTTCAACTTTTAAGTTTTTGTACATTTTGTTACAACGTGCAGTGACAATAATAAAGAGTAGTGTCACTAATATACAGACATTTAATTTAAGTAGGTGGTTCTTAAATATCTGAATAAAACTGTCAAAAAGTTGTAGATCATTAATAGAATGAACTAAGTGTTCTAGCAATAACTGTTTTAAAAGCAAAATTATATAACACTAAAAAGACAGACAGAACATTTGAATATGTCTAGTAGTATGTTATTGCAGAAAAATTATTCTGACAAGGAAGTCAGGGCAGTTACATCTTCCATTGGTAATATTGAACAATAACATAAGATCTCATTTCCTAGTATCTTCTATAGAACGTATGCTTAAATATTTTTACAATTTAGCATAATTGTAGTAAATGTTAAAGTTAAATACTATAGTCAAGTTGTTTCCTAACTAAAGAGAAGTAAACAATTTTAATTGGGATCAGATTAGAAAAACCATGAGTTGTTAACTCAAAAAAGCTAAACACTTTCATCGATTTTGAAAGTGTAGCAGTAGTATAGACATTAAAGTTCAAGCTAGAGTCAAAGGTGTTCTCTAGATCCTTTATTTGTTTTTGTATTCATTAGTTTTTGCTACTTGTTTCTGAACGCCTGGATTTAAAAAAATAGTTCGTCTTTGATGTTTACCTATATATACGCAGTTACGGATGGTACCCATGACTACTTGGTTTTCACGGAACCACGGGTAACCCAAGATACAATCCTCCTGCAACGTCTCCATTACGAGAAAATCTGAATTTAAAGTTAAATCTGCAATACTGTAAGAAAGATTCTCATAGCCACGTGTCTCAACCTCACTCACCCCACACCCAAATACTACTGATAATTTTGACGGACGATTTAAGTTTACATTAATAAATTTGGCATTAATTATATTGACGTTTGTACCACTGTCAAAAAGGGCTTTAATATTATGATTACCAACACGTATAGTAATTCTTGGCAGTGGTAAACTTTTACTGCTATTTTCCTGCGATGTCATTATAGCCGGAAAGTCGCAGGTCCCTGTCCGGATACTTTTTCGTTTTTTGAATCCTTCATGGGTAGCACGGCGGCTTGATCCTGAAGTTGACTTTGCTGATAAAAACGTTTAGGTATGGTACCCGTTTTTGGTACGTCTCTACTTTGTTTAATATCTTTTGCGACGATAGCCGTCTGTCCTTTGTCAAAATTATTTCTTGGACATTCACGATGAAAATGCCATTTAGAACAATATTTACAAGGACTGGGAGGTAAAAGGTAAAAGTTTCTCTCCAAATTGTTATAGAATATTTTAATTTTTAAATTAAATTAATTGTTAATAACGATTTATAAATATGTTTAAAAAAATATTATAACACAGCAACATTTTATTGTCGCATATTTGGTCCCATCATTAGATTTTGCTAAAAACAACACGACGTCCCAGTAGTTATGACTTACCTTGTACAATTTCGTTAAATTAACTTCAGCAATAATATTGCGAATATTCTAATTTAATATTAAAGTACAATGTTTTTTTAAATCAATGTTCCGGTCATGATTAAAAGTAAAGATGGGTGATGATAATGATGATGGTATAAATGTCATAAGCGAAATAATTATTAAAATAAAATATCTTGTTTATTTTACAAGAATGGTTTTAATAATCATTCGTTAAAAAACAGCTATACTTGTTCAACTTATGCATCTTTACATAACAATTAAATGACTAATAAAAGTGGAACAGTTCATTCGAGGTCAAGATCAGTCAAAATTATAAATTACCTGCTGTCTAATTAGTAAGTACTAATCTTTTAATTATATTAATATATTAATAATTACTAATTTCGTTATCGAACTTTCTACTTCAAATAAAATAAATACAACTATTTCATATAATATTAAATTAAGGATGATAACTGTATATGCAAAATCAAGAATTTAAAATAATTAAAAATTATGATAGTTTTAAATTATGATTATGCTGCCCTGATTAACAGAAACACCGTATCTTTGAAAAGTTAAAACGAAAACAGAAAAAGCTTTGTCTTTTCATTAACAGCAGTTGCAAATTAAACTATTTTTTTGGGAAATAGGCAATTAACATAAAACGTATCCTTCCAATTTTAGCTTTATATTTTTTAACAATAACTAAAAAGAAAGGGTAAAAAATATTGCGTTTTTCATAAGCGTGCGACTTAGAGAGGGCTAATCTCTGATTACGAAAAGAGCAGTACTGCGTTCTTGCTAAGTACTTTATTTTGTTATTAAATACAAATAATTTTATTGATGCTATAAAAACACCAATTACTAAATTGTTTTTATTGTAAAACGCGTTTTTAACAAACAGGAACAATGAGACATGGAGGTCAACAGTAGAGGAGTTATTCTTAACCTAATCCTATCCCCTGGAAAACTCACAGTATCCTGCAGACATTTTAATTCCATTAGACTTTAATCGCCCTCACTGGAATCTAATTTGCAGCTTTGTTTTGATAATTTATCTGAATCAATGACATGAACGATACCGTAGCGTCCTGCGGTAATAACATTGCCAATCTATTTGCTAGTCATTTTAAATCCTGGTCGGATTATTACTTCATTATATTCAATTTTAAATTGTCGTTAAAATATTCATGGTTCAAATAGCATATTTTATAGGCTTTGGGATTTTTTTCGTGCTGATTTACATACCTTTATATAATCAGCAGGTAAAATAATTGTTCTTCCTCTTAATCTTTGCTCTATGGAGGTGTACATAGAATCACACGCCATCTGATTGTGACCTTTTTCAAAATATTTTTGAATGATACAAACTCCCTTCTATTATTTGTGTAGGTATCAGTTTACTAATGTCTTCATTATTGACAAATTTACAAATTATTGATGTGAAACAATTAGCAGTAAGCTCCCCTCATGCCAGATGAAACAATATCCATCTTTTGTCTGTGCACAATCAGTTTAGTTCGATAATATAGAGCTGACACATTTAATTTTGAGGACAAAAGTACGGACTGAAGATCCATTGTGAATACTATATTGTTCGAACTTTTGTCTTGCATCTTTTTATTACGTGCCTCATCTTTCTTTGCAATATAGTCTTTATATTTTTGGTTTTGTAACCCACACAAACATCACATTCATCTTTTTTTGGTGAGAAGAGTGCTAGGTTTAAATCTTTAAACATGTTTGAAAAAGTAGCAATACGCTTCTCTTTCATGGCCTTTACTCCAATCTGCTTTAAATCGTGGTTCCAGATACATTTTTGTCGCTAATTTTCTGCAGTAGGGAGATTTAAGCTTGGGTAAACTACCAAAAAAATTTTTAAGTCTACTTTTTATCGGTCAAACCTAGAACATCATCTTTTCGTATGGGACTAGATTTAATTTTTTTATCCATTCTAAGATGGTTCTGATAGAGACTCCCAAGGTATTGGAAAACATAATTTTACAAATCCTTATTTTTTCACTTTTTAAGTAAAGGAAATATTTATATGAACCAGTTTTTTAGAACCGTATTAGTTGCCTAAATTTGTAGCATTAAAGAATTATAAAAAAGCTGTAAATACTTGATATTATGTAGACTTCAATGCAATTCCACACATTTTCATCAAAACATTTAGTTTGTATAATCTAGATCCCTTTTTCATGTTTTCAACAAATCATTGAGCACTCTTAAGTTTCTAAACTTTTGGAAACTCTTTTATGTTACTCCCATTCACAAATCTAGCAACAAATCTAATCAAACAAATTTTGCCCTATTTTCATTCTTTTCAATATCCCAAAATTTCTTGAAAATATCATAACTGATTTTCCTACATATAACTGTTCCAATATCTTATATCCTCAACAGTTTGGTTTTTCTTTGGGCAAATCTGCTGAACTAAGTTTACTAACGTATTATAACTTCCTGTCTAATGCTTTGGAGAAGGGTAGATTCTGTGTGTAACAACTTTTGATTGGACCAAGATCTTTTAGTTCATAAGCTAACGTTATATGGTGTAGTTGGGATGGTTTTATAGTGGTTAGGTAGTTAGTCCCAAATTTTTGCCAGTTAAAGGATCTTATAAATGATACCACAACTTGCTTGCTTGATACTAAAACTCTATTATTGGCAGATTATTTGAAGTGGTTCGAGATTAATATTTATGATAGAACTAAGAATTTGCAACTTGATTTTAATAAACTTGTAAGTTGATGCTCTCGATTTAAAAACGTATAATTATAGTTTATTTATATCATCTTCTGGATTTTCTCGTAATGGAGACGTTGCAGGAGGATTGTATCTTGGGTTACCCGTGGTTCCGTGAAAACCAAGTAGTCATGGGTACCATCCGTAACTGCGTATATATAGGTAAACATCAAAGACGAACTATTTTTTTAAATCCAGGCGTTCAGAAACAAGTAGCAAAAACTAATGAATTTCCTTTACATCATTTGCCTTTTGACCTACTTAATCAGTACAAGACCATTTTTGAACATTTTAATTTTTTATTTGACGAACCACAAGAACAAACTATAACTCACACAATCAAACACGACATACGGTTACTGCGCGACGAATACTTCACTATTAAACCATACGTACTCTTTAAGCGAACGAAAAAAAAATATTCTCAATGAACAAGTAGTTTCTATGCTGTCGAAAGGAGTTATTGAACACTCATATTCGCTCTTTTCTTCGTCACCCGTAATAATAGAAAAAACCCAGATTCTGCGTGGATTTTCGTAAATTAAATACTATAACCGCCGACTAGAGCGTTCAACTTCCAAGTATTAATGACACACTAAAGGAACTAGGCACAGCAAAAATATTTTCTACTGCGCAGCGGATACTGGCAGATCGCATTGACCGATCGGGCAAAACCTTTAACTGCATTTAGTACTCCGGACGGAGGTCATTACCAGTTTAAGGTCATGCCATTCGGTCTAAAAAATGCTCCGAGTTCTTTCCAAAAATTAATGGTTCACGAAGTACTTACAAACTATTTACACAAATTTGTAATGGTATATCTGGACGATATAATTATATATTCGAATACTCACAATGAGCACCAAAAACATGTGTCATTAGTACTTGAACGTTTAGCGTTACATAATTTGCGTATTTCAATAGAGAAGTGTAACTTAGTAACCAAAAAACTAGATTATTTAGGACATTCGATAGACAAGGAGGTAAATATGCCTCAAACATCTCGCCTTAAACAGGTAAAAGATTTTCCTGTGCCCAGAAACAAACGCGACGTTCAGTCTTTTCTGGGTACCATCAATTGGTTGAGAGAGTACGTGCCTGTTCTATCAGAACTGTTCGTCCCAATGATCGATTTGCTGGGTCGCAAAACAAAGTGGAGATGGGGAGAAAATGAACAAAACTGTTTCGAAAACATTAAAATAGCTTTAACACAACCGCTAAAATTACATCGTCCGGACTTCTCCCTACCATTTGTTTTGCAGACCGATGCAAGCTCGGTCGGAATTGGAGCAGTACTTTGTCAACCGACTGACGATGGAAAAAGGCACGTAGTCTCCCATGCTAGTGCTAGGTTAACGAAGACGGAAAGAGGGTACCACATAAATGAAAAAGAATGCCTCGCGGTAGTATGGGCAGTAAAAAAGTACCGTCCTTATTTAGAAGACAAACCATTTACTATAGTGACAGATAGTCGAGCTTTAACATGGTTAAATAAATATTCAAATTCTAAAGCAAAGCTAACGCGTTGGTCTCTTCTTCTTTCTCAGTTTTTATTCAATATAGAACATTGCCCAGGTAGTCAAAATCAATTACCCGACTTTCTGTCTCGTTACTCTGATACCGTTGAAGTTTTAGAGGAGGTCAATGATTTTGAGCGTATGCTACCTCCCTGTTCATCTACAGAAAGTACCGAGAAAGTTAACAATTCCTTAGTGGTTCAAAATATAAATTACCATGAAGTTCACCACATTGCCCCATTTGATGAATCTAGTCTATTTGATCAAGTTAAGCAATCACAACTTTATGATAAAATTTTTCAAGGAAAACGCGTTTTATGGCAAGTAATATCGGAAGCCGGTCCTAAAACAAATCCAGATCATTCATTTTTTAAGAACCATTTTCTTAAAGAAAATTTACTTTACCGGCGCGATGGTGCTCTAATAGTACCTGAAAAATTCGTTTCAAGGTTTTTGTATACGTACCATGACTCTGAATTTTCTGGTCACCCAGGTCGGGATGAAACGTACAGAAAAATCAGAGAGCGATATTACTG